AACAAAATTTGTTGGCACCGAGCCACGGACTCTGGCCTGTATAGATTCTATTGCTAGCTTCTTTTTTTCTTTTTCTAAACTGAACAGATAATGCTATTGGTAGCTTTGTTCTATAAATCTTTGTCGACGCCCGCGATTTTATTGAAATGTTATTAAGATATTATTATTAGAGATGATTGATGCTTGCATATTTTCTTTAACAAATCCAAATACTTTTAAAGTCAAATATGAGTTTTATCAAACTGGACAAGGAAAATTACAAATACATTTATTAGTCTCTTTCAGACACTGCGTAGTTGCTGTTGGTCCAAAGAGAGTTTTGCATTCTGATACGCACTGATCACCACAAGTCCAAAAACTCACTTCACAAGTACCACCCATATTCTGCTCAACTATATCAAAGAAAACCATTATTGGCATTTATGTAACAAAATTATCAAAATTTAAAATATATTATCAGGGTCACCTCAATAATTTCACAGACCCTGAGGCAAAAAAAAACTACTTTAAAAAATACTGATAAATATTTTTTTCTCAAAATATTAAAAGTGTTTTCAAAATAAGATTGTGATAATATAAAAATAATTTCATATAAAACTTATTTTAGTATAAAAAATTTGTATTTTTAACCTATTAGAATTAGAAAAATAAGGGATTGGACACATAGTAGTTGCACATTTTCTTCTATCTAGTGGATCCTGGATATATTAATACTCTAAAATCTAAACTATACTATACTACATTCGTTCTTGAAAATAAGATATTCTATATTTATAAGATATTTTTGTATATGTTTAAGTTATTTTCATTAAAATATTTGGAATAGATTCAATATCATTGGTTGAAAGTTATTGGAAACTATATAGTAAAAATAAAAAAAAAAGATTAAATATAAGATATATTATATTGTAATATGTGTGAATGTTCTAAAATATTTTTATTTCAGAAACGGCAAAAAAAAATGATATATTGCTGATGCAGAGAGCCAACATTTTTAAAGTCATAGTAGTGTTAGGTGAACAGATTTGAATACTGTTATATATGAGCAAACTAAAAAAGGATATTATATATGAGCAAACTAAAAAAGGATAATGTTATACCTAAGGTTAATATTACAATGAATTACAAGTTTATGATATTTAGCTCATGGACCAACAAAATGAGTTAAATTTAAGTAATACTTTTTAGAAATTAAAAATATACTGAATATATTTTATGAATAAAATATAATATTAACATATACCTAAAGCAAAAATAACAAGGAAGATGATGGGGAACACAAGTGAAAAAACTGCCTTAGTCATATTAGATTTTTTTTCCTCTTCCTTCAGTGTATTTATTAGTGTACTGAATATTGATCTGTCCTAAAAAATTGAGAGGCTTCAAAGAGAAGATCTTCATTTATATAATAGCAGAGTTTTATCAAAAGAACTTAATTAAATTTTTATTTAATGTCATTTTTAACTACTCAATTTATATTTATATCTATCCAGGATAAATATATTAAAGAAATTAAATGTTAATAAAAGAAAATCTCCATATAATAATAATCGTGATTAGTATCTTGGAGATACTCTAATGGAAAAATTACTTGATAATTAAGTTCAATTTACTAAACATTAAATGGTAACAATGCGATAAAAGTTTTGAATGTATGATAATCCACCAATTTCAAAAGATTGAAAAGTAACAAAAAAATCTTCCAATATTTAACAATGTAATATATCCTTCTTTATTTAAATGAGAATCTCACTAATTATATTTACTATTTCCATGTTACTTATTTTGTTTATATCCTTTCAATCAATTTATATGTTTTTTTCTTTAGTTTTATTATTTGTTTAACATCCATTTACCGTTTTGCTTTTCTTGAATAAAATTAGTTTAAACTGAAACTCTCATAAAACTAGATTAAATCTTTCGTGGTAGTTTTTTCTTTTTCTGATAAAGGGTTTTCTTCCGTGGTAGTTCATAACTTACGACGAAGATGTACGATGAATAATTTTTTTTTGTACAATGTATAATTAGTCTACATATATAATAATAATAATCTTGAATAGTATCTTGGAGATACTCTAATGGAAAATATGTAAATGATAAATTAAGTTCAATTTATCAAACATTAAATGGTAAAAATGTGATCAAGTTTTTGGATATATGTTAGTCCACCAATTTCGAAAGATTGAAAAGTTGGGCAAACAAATCTTCTAACAATGTAATATACCCCTCTTTATTTCAATGGAAATCTCCTTAATTATATTTACTCTTTTAAAAAAAAAATTTTACTCTTTTCATCTTTACTTATTTTCTTTAAGTCCTTTTTAGTCAATTTTTTTATATATCTTTTGTTCTCTTTGGTTTTATAATTTGTTTATCGCTCACTTATAAGCCATTTTACTTTAAAATATAATTGCTCATGTCTAAATAGTAAATAATAATATGCAAACTCTAATTGGTGATTTGATAATGTGAAACTAGGTGTTTCGCCCGCACTTGCTGGCTTAATAATTTTACTAATATCTACAAATATATAATCAATTTAAGTAAATTATAATAAATTATCGTTCATACACTCAAAATATTTAATAATAATCTAAACAATTTTTTTCTATATATAAAATTTTTCATCATCATAGAAATAATTTTCATTACACAAATTAAATGTAAAAATACTCACAAATTTAAAATATTTAGTAATAAATTAATATCGTTTTAAGACATAGCAAAAAGAAGTATAATAAAATTATCTTTAATAATGTTTTGGATAACACAATAATAAATGATCTATACATAAATTCTTTGCGAATTAATTTTTTCATAATTAAATATATATATTAACAAATATGTTATTTTTCAAGGTTAATAAAGACTTTATAACACAATATAAAAAAGTTAGATAAAGATAATTATCAAATTCATGAAATTCGTTTTTAATTTAGAATTAATTATATATTAACAAATATAATTATTTTTCAAGGTTGATAAAGACTTTATAAAATAATATAATTTTTTAGAATTAATTATATATTAACAAATATAATTATTTTTCAAGGTTGATAAAGACTTTATAAAATAATATAATTTTTTAAATAAGGATAATTATCAAATAAATGAAATTCGTTTTTAATTTATAATTAATTATATATTAACAAATATAATTATTTTTCACGGTTAATAAAGATTTTATAACCCAATATAAAATATTTTTAGATAAAGATAAATCTAAAATCACTGAAATTCATTTTTTACTTATGTTTAATTATATACTAGGTGATTTTTCCGTGCTCAGGCACGGACATAAATATTTATAAAATAAATATATTATAATAGTTGATTGATATTTACTTTAATTTTTTTATTAATTTATAGTTTTTATGTATAATTATATTAATAATATTATATTATTTTAGTTATATATAATTTTAGATATATTATATTTAGTTAGTTTATCATTTGGATATATATATATATATATATATATATATATATATATATATATTGGATTCTATCTATTTCTCTGAATTCAACTATAATTTTTTTTTATTCTAAATATCTTAAATTTTTGATTAATTGTTTTATTTACATTTATGTTGGTTGTTATCTTAGAAATATAAGTATATCTTAGTAAGATTATGTATTTTAATATTTTTTGTGCTTAGAACGAAAAAAAAAAAAACTAAAGTGTCTGATACTAAATTACATACATAAGTAATAATAAATTTTCAGAAGCTTATGAAAACATATCAATATTTACAATAATTAAATATTTTAGAAATTTTAAATAATTTATGCCTTAGATTGATTAGATGGTAAACTAAAATTTATTTTAAATATTTTTTAAAATAAAGAATTATAATTTTCTTAAGTATTTTGATTATGGTTATATTAAATTCCACAAACATAAAAACAGAAAATTAAACATCAAAAGAGTTATGAAGAAAACATATAATTTTAACTGTTAAAATATAATATATCTACCTCATTAAATTATATAGTGTTATGATATTTTAAAAGAATTGTAGTTATCTGATCAAAAGATGTTTACCATTAAATTTATTTTTAGTTTTGTTTTTAATATCTCTTATAATATGCAGTAAAAATGTGATTATTTTTGAGAAATTATATTATATAAGTAAAATATAATTTATATTTTTTGCTGTAACGGTAAGATATTATAATCAAATAAATATACTAATTATAATTTTTTTTGTCAATTAAACATATATCAGTTTATGTTACTTAATTATTTTATGTAATCATATAATAAAATAGATAGATATATACAAAAACTAATTACTTTGAAAATATATATTTTATTGTTTAAATTATTTTTAAAAATAAAAAAAATATTTCTTTTCTAATATCAAGATTATTTGTATGAATTTTTTTATGAAAACACATTATATACAAATATTTTTTTCATCTAAGAAGATATAGATATAACGTATAATTACTTAAAAAATATAATTTATGTTATATAAAAATATATTTAAGTTAAATATTACTATTTTGTAAACTTTCCTTTTTTATGAAACCATATTATATATATACTTATTTTTCGTTTTAAAATAGTTTTGTAAATTTTAGAAATAATTCCTTTTTGTTTTATATTGTTATTTGGAAGATTTTAAAAAGGAAATAATAATATTTAAATATATTTTTAATTCATTAGGGGTATCATAGTAATCAACCAGCGTGAGAGTTAACGTGAGCGCGACACCTAAGAAAGTGACTTCTCAAATAATATTATAGAGATTGAAATTTTTAATTATTTATTAATGGTGTAAACGATATTAACCAGTTTAACTTTTAATGAGAGTTCCATTGCGAAAAATCACTTCGCAAACAATAGTATAGAAGTCTAACAAACCAGACAATTCGATCTAAACGTGCAAGAAAGAAGAAAGGCCTCTCCCGCTTAATAAAAAAAATATAACATCATGGTGGAAGGGCAAATTATGCGGAGAAGGATTATATGGAGTGGAGCTAGTGACTGACTGGGCTTAGAGAAGAACGGAGGCACATATTGTTAGTTGTGACATGAACGGTGGCAGTGTAACACATGATGTTTGCAACAGAGAAGTGAAATCAAGAACATGTGTTTTTTCTTACCCTTTACATAACTAGAGAGGATTACTCACGAGTGAATGGTGTTAAGTTTTTAAGATCACCTGTTGATAGCACCATTCCATGTGTGGAACGCTGGGGATAAAATATTAGGAAATTTGAAAGATCCATTTTTGAGCAAACAAGCAAGAAAACACTTGATAAAAACTAGTAACCACAAACTCATACCATCCATCCATTATCTCGCTCTCACTCTCCCATTGCATTTTTTTTTCTTTATTCTAGAAGCAACATTCACCTTCAAAGTGAAGGAGGTACATACTGTCTAGATAAACCAAACAGATCTTTACCCTCAAACGGTGATGTCCATTCCCTCCCATTCCCAACTAAAGCAGCTTCCTGCACTCCCATTGCCATGCCCATCCCATTCATTCTTGTCCTTCCATTCATGTCTGCTTCATATGGGGATGCAGCAGCCACATATTGTTGTTCCTCTTGTCTCGGACAAGCTAGGCCTCTGTCTAAACTCCAATCAATTTTGTTGTAGTCGTATTTCCCTTTTGACCCATCAGCGTTCCAGTCTATCCCTGATGGTGACGCTGATCCATACCCGGAGAAGAGCCCAAGGGAAGCAGCTGGAGCCACAGCATGTGGTGCAGACCCCACTGCCATTCTCTGTCCGTTGTTCACTTGGCCTTGATATTGCTGATACTGAAGTTGCTGGTACATCAGGTTCGAGTTCAGATCACTAGGAGGTAGAGTTCTTGTGGGTACGTATCCGTTAGATTGACTATTTGCAGGGTACCAACCGTTGCCTCCTCCTATTGTTGCTGCTGATGCTGCTACGGTAAAGGATGGATTCATAGTAGAGGCAGGTAACACATTTGTGTTAACTGACTGAGAGCGTTGCTGCTGCTGCTGCATCAACGTAACTGGTTCCCTCATTTCTTGTTGCTGTAGTCTCTTGACCTGATCACCTAGAGCCGCCACATGATGAGTTTCTTCTACTGGCCGTGACAGTGGTGTCTGTTGATTAACCATGCGTTTCTTCTCCTCCATGGCAGCATTCTGTTGATTTTTCATCCACTGCAGTTTCATGTTAATCTTATCCATTGGATTAACACTTTGGTTTCCAGATTCTCCACTAATATAACCGGATCCTCTAGAGTAACCAAGATTCTTTCTATCTTCATCCCCCCCACTTGAGTTAGGTTGCAACTGAGCTACTATGTTTTGACTTGTATGAACAGAAGCGGCTTTGCCATTATCACTAACATCTTCTACTTTTATAGAAGCAGTAGTAGATTGGTCTTGCTTCTGTCTTCTCAAAGATTCCTCTGCTCTCTCAATATCCCCTTCCGCTGAAACCACAGCTCTCTCTACATCCTGCTTAGTACACTTATACTTCGTTTCCAGCTCCAAGATCCTACCAAGCTCTTGAGTAATGTCAAGCTTTAAATTCCCAGAACTAGGAGGATCTAGCTTCTTATCATCATCTAAATTAGCCCCACCTTCATCAAGCAACCAGTTAATAGACTCATCTAGCTTCCCTTCATTCAACATAAGAGCGTAAGTCACCTTCTCATGTGAAGCAAGCTCCATATGCATGATCTGCTGAGCAAGCACCTCAAGCTTCCTCGACATTAGAAACTGACAGCACCGCTCATGCAGCTCCTGAGCTCGCTTCTCCTTCTGACGCTGGTGCTTCCTCTCGTTCTTGAGCCGCATCTTCTCCCTCTTGTCATTATCAGCTCCTGGAACTGTGGTTTCCTGTTTCGGCGGTGGCGCTTTCTCTTTGTGGTCTTCTGAATCGCCGGACCAGCTGCCGTTATTAGAGGCGGAATCACAGTCGGCTCCTCCGGTGGAATCCGACTCATCGACGCTTCTGAAACGGCCAAGAGATGAAGAGGCACCATGAGGAGAAGACTCAACGGTGGATAAGAGAGGATTGTAAGCACCACCTATTGATCCTCCTCCAGAAGAGGCTGTGGCTGAGGATTTAGTAGGTGTCTTGTGTGATTCATTCACAACAACCTTCTTGTCTCTTGATTTATTCTTGGCTGGTGTAGACATCTTCACCAACAACAAAACAAAAATAAAAAGTCAATAAAATTGCAGAATCTTCTCGAAACATCATATGAGGATAAACTAATACATAATATCACAGATCCATAGCAAAGAACGAATCAAATCCATAGACTATAGAAAATGAATCACCAATTCAGGAAAACCTAAGGACATGCGATTTGAAGAATAATCTAAACCGTAGAGAGAGAGAGGGAACCTGATTGGTTTTGATCGGAGAGGTTGACGGAGAAGTGGAGATCCGAACAAAAGGTGAGAGCTGAGGCGAAGAGGAGGGGATGAGGAACGAGAGGAGAGTGCGCGTTTCGAATCCCTTGAAATCTAAAATGTCTATTGAAATTAGGGTTTGGTCTCTTTTTCTTTTTTTTTTTTAACTAACGAAGAGTTGCCAAAACCAAACCAAAAGTCCCTTGTGTAATAATTCTGGCTTATTTTCTTGGGGAAACTGTTTTTTTAGACCAAATAGGTTTGGATATTGTCCCTTTAGGCTAAATTATATTTTGTACCAATTTTGACTTTAATGCCCTTTATGTATTTTCGAAATTATTAAAAAAAAATAGATTTATGAAGCAATTTTTTCTTAAAAAATAGTACATAATGATGAAATCTCTATATCTATATAGTGATATTTTTTTCT